ATATTGCTCTCCTGGAAGCAAGGGAGTGAGAAAGAGTATCAGCTAGATGTCCCTGTGAATAGTTTAGATATTGTGAGTTATTATCAATGTGAAAACACAGAACCATAGAATGCCAGATGGTAAGAGACCTCAAGGATCATCTGGCTCAACCTTTCTTGGCAAAAGCACAGCCTAGACAATATGGCCCAGCACCCTGTCCAACTGAATCTTAAGTATTCAATGTTGGGGAATCCACCACTTCCCTTGGGAGATTATTCCAATGGCTGATTGTTCTTATTGTGAAAAATTTTCCTCTTGCATCCAATCAGAATCTCCCCAGGCATAACTTGTACCCATTACCCCTCATCTTTTCCATGTGACTTCTTGTAAAAAGAGAGTCTCCTTGTTTGTAGACACTCTTTAAATACTGGAACATGGTGATAAGGTCTCCCCTAAGCCTTCTCTTCTCAAGGCTGAACAAACCCAGTTCTCTCAGCCTTTCTTCATGTGACAGACTTCCCAGTCCTTTGATCATCTTTGTGGCCCTTCTCTGGATCCTCTCCAGCCTGTCCACAACTTTTTTGCATAGTGGGAACCAAAACTGAACACAGTATTCCAGGTGTGCCCTGACAGGCACTGAGTAGAGTGGGGTAAGGACTTCTTTATCTTTGCTAGTGATGCCCTTGTTGATGCAGCCCAGCATCCTGTTGGCTTTCTTTACACTTGGGAAACATTATCCTGAAAGTAACTCTGATCTGTGCTAGTGCTGCTGGAATTGTGGCTCAATTTTCATGAATGTGAGAAGAGGTATGGCAAAAATTTGCAGCAGGATGAAATTCTTCCTGTGTGATATTGAAAAACAGTGATGAGAAAACTGCATCAAGAAAAGTTCCTGTCCTGTGCCAGAAATACAATATTGTTTGTTTTCTCCCCCTTTTTATGCTTTGTGTTGAAAAAAAAAAACTTAGTAATATGATCATCGTTAAAATGGTAACAGTATTTTCTAGCAGTTTAGAAACAATATGAAAGTCCTAGTGGTATTAGCTTTGTCTTAAATAAAGGTCACATGATTAAAAAAAAAAAAAAAAAGCTTGCTATCTTGCTACTTCTAGTGTTAAAAGAAGCAGCAAAGCACTAAACAAGCAATGAAAAAGCTGTGAAAACAAGTTATCAACTGTGTCTAAGAAGTTATTTATCCAATCTGAGGAAATAGTTTTTATTGTTATTTGATTCACACAACAAAATTTCTAGGGCTGTTTCCCTTGTAAGGGCTGCCTGAAGCCAGCAACTAACAAAGAATTTGGCTGGTCTTCTTCACAGAGATCCCTCCAGCTACTGTAATTTCTTGCACCATGTAGGTTGCACTGGTTTTCAGGTCAGTATGGGATACAATTCAGAACAATTCTGCTACAATTTGTGCAGACCTACAACACTCTGTAATGGTGTCTGTGTTGAAGTTGGTGAGAGCAAGTAGATGCTGAAAACTTTTGGAAAACCAGCTTTCTGTCAAGTCATTCATTACAAAGCCTAATTCACATTTCTCTTTATTTCAATCAGTATATTCTAGATACCAGATATTTTTATATAGGCAAACATGGCATGAAAGCTCTAGGGAGGCAGAATTACTTACAGACTGCCTTTTCAAGTTCCCCTAGCCTTTTCTGTTTTCTGACTCCTTCTGTTTACTGCTTGCTATTTCCTCACCACACTGAATCTGCAGCCATTAAGTCTGGGCAGTGGTGGGACTTCGCTCCATTTGATCCCATTTATTAGCCCACCTCTGAGAGGGGTACATGCAAGTGGCACCTTCTGCCTCCAGGCTTGCTGTTTTTCAGACTGGTTCATCAACCCAGCCAGTCTGACCTTCAGGCTCTTTCAAGATACTGGCTTTTAGTGGTAATTTTGTGAAATCCACTGTGAAAGGTCTTTTATTTGAACTGGGGATGGGGATATTATGTCATAGATGAGGATTATTTTGATTGATTTTTTTTCCATGCATATCTAGGAAGATGCAGTGAATGTAGTGAGAAAATCAACACAGTATTGAAGGTTGCATTTTTCCAGTGTAAAGTGTTTAAGGACATGCTGCCAGGGAAACACTTCATCAGCCAAACTTCCCTCATCTTATCACACTGAACAGGAAGCACTTCTCGTATCTCAGGGTATGGTCTGGTGCTATATATTCTGTGGGACAGGGAGGAATTGTGTTAAGAAAATTGAAAAAAATATAATCCAACAGACAAGAGGGTCTGACAGGAATCTCATGAAGTTCAGCAAGGAGAAGTGCAAGGTCTTGCAGCTGGGAACTACCCCATGCACTAGTACATGATGAGGGCTACCCATCTGGAAAGCAGTTTGACAGAAAAGGACCTGGGTGTCCTGGTGAACACCAGGTTGAACATGAGCCAGTAGTGTGTCCTTGCAGCAAAGAATTCTAATGGTATCCTGTTTTCATATGGGTTTTTTTGTTTGTTTTTATATTCTTCAGTAGGCACCTACCACTATCTACTATCAGATACTGGCTACTGAGCTCAATGGACTTTGATCTGACATGATACAGGCACCCATAAGTTCTTTATCCTGTCTAACTGGTGTTAGGTATTGGGAATCCTGAAAGCAAAGAAAATAATGGTTCCTTGAAAGTTACTTACTTTTCCAGCCACCTTTTACCTTCCCTGCTTGTCTCAGGCTATTCATGCAACATCTGAACCCCTGTCTTTTTAGGCTTATTTGCATAAGGAGTTATTCTGGAGCACTAATTTCATTTGGACTAATAAAATGAAGGATATGCCATCCAAAATTAATAACATAGGGGTGGGCAATAATAAAAGCAAGCTCAAGTCTGTAAAATTACTTTGTCTCATACCATGTCAGTATGACTAGAGAGCTGATCTCCATGGTCTAGCACAAGGACGTTAAGTGGCAGATTCAGGATGATAAGCAGAGTTTGGGGAAGCAGGGTAAATACCACCTTGCTGACACCTTGATGTGATGGTCTGTTCCTAGGGCCATCATGGGGGAGAGCTAGGACCACAAGTAAGTAGAGTTTTAAGGGCATGGATTTGAAATTATCTCTGTTACACACATAGAAGACATTTCTGGGGAGCGTTGAGGTTCATTTTTATGTAAGTAGAGACTTAATATTGGCATGTATCTGGGAGACAGAAACTAGATTTCTCTTCTAAGCACTATACAAATTACAGAGAGAGCAAGCAAGCAAGAGTGAAATAAAAATGATTGCTCTTTAGACCCATAAATTAAACCACACTGTGTGTTACTTCCCTCTCTAATTTCTTTCATAGTTGTTTATACCAGAGTTCTTGCAATCCTTGCTTGTATTACTTCTGTCATTCTATAATGAAGATCTTACAGAGAGCACAAGTAGATAATACACAGACATGTGTAGGTATCAATGCCAGCCAGATTGTATATGCATTCGATTACATATGAATTATATGCACAGAAAAGGGAACACACAAATGTATTGCCAGGATGAGGTACCTTTCAAAAAAACAAACAAAACTTCACACTTCAATTCTCACTTTCCATTTTGGAGTTGTTTAAAGATAACCTGCTTTTCCTGTCTTTCACCTTAAAATTTTGTCTTTCTTCTTAAAGGTTTGCTCTCTGCTTTCAGTCTTTTTAATGAATTTAGCAGTGAGGAAAAGCTCTGCCCTGGTACAGGAACCCTGAGAATACAGAAGAAGGTTGTGTGCCATTTTAAAGGGAAAAGAGCAGGTCAGCTTTACATCAGCAGAGGCCTTGTTACTTTCTATTCAAGAAGAAATGTGCTCTAAGCAGCTAGTTTTAGCCTTTCTTCAACCATTCTTCCAGCTTCAAAATAGGAACCCATCCTCTTATGGGAAGGTTCTCTTGAAGGATTTTGGAGGAAATGAGCTCTTCTGTGCAAAAGCTGTTTCACATAATAAACTTTACAATGCCAGTGAATAGATATGAGACAGTTAAACAACAGTATAAATCTTCTCAGTTTTATGAATGCACTTAGTTTCTGCGTACTTTCTCCAAAGTATAACATGCCAGGACAGATCCTGAAATCTGTCTCACTAACGTCCCTTACAGACAAAATACTAATTGAAGTTAATAGCGGGACAACTTGGGGGAAAACTTAAAATCTGGGAATAGTAGTGCATGCCCTCTAAAATGTTAAACGAGGAGTTTCACACAGGACAGTAGGAATTTCTCAATAACTTCTATATCTCACTTTCATCAGTGACTTTTGATATTTGAGTACTTGAGTCTCACAGAAAGATTAAATGTAGCTCATGGAACATCTTACTGCCAGTAGCACAATGAATTATTGAGTTTAGTCTCCCAACTTACTCTAGAAGCTGTAGAAACGTTTTGTTTAGCCCTTACTGAAGAAATGTAGATGTTTTGGTTTGCCTCTTCAATATATAGTAAAAAAAAAAAGTGACTAAAAATGTTTTCCCACCTTATCCACTTTTGAGCATGTCTGTGTGTCAGTAGTTGTAAGTTAAAGATGTAAGGCTTGAGGAAAACCTGGGTTTATAGGAAACATTTTTTTTTTAATTTTCTAGCTCATTGTGCCAAATGACTGGCATTTTGAAATTCTGACCTCCAAATTTGTAGGAAATGAAAGGAAAAAAAAATATGTTTGTTACTTCTACTTTAGAGTCAGAAAATTCTGGGGATGTTAAACACAAAAGTTTTTGTTTCATTTGAAAACAAAAGCAATGTACAATACACCTCAAGTTTTGAATTAAATGTATATTTCAATTTTATCAGGATACATGGATGTCTCAGAATGGATTGTACCAGATGGGAAAGGCTCAGTTAATTTTGATTATATTGTGTAAAGCAGTTGCCTCAAATAACTTTTTTCCAAGCTTTCAGAAACTAGCATATTTCAGAGCTTCTGAAGTTAATTTAAAAGCAGGCTTTAATTTACTCTTTTTACCTCAGAGATCCTCCACTATTAGAAAAAAACTAGTGTCAGGAAGATTTTCTCTCTCTAATGAAGATTTTTTTTTTTTTTTTCTTCGGAAGTGTCTTGGATCCCCAACAAACACTACTCTGGGATTTACGGGCTGATGAAGCTGGTTCTGACTAAGACTCTACCTTCCAATCTTGAGCGAGTTATTGTCCTCGACACAGACATAACATTTGCCACTGACATTGCTGAGCTATGGGCCGTCTTTCACAAGTTCAAAGGTATACTAATGATTTTTTACTGTCTTTATTTGAGGGGGAGGGACAATGGTAGAGCAAACAGTACAGTGGGGATGAAAGGCTACCTGAGATTTGTGTTAAGTTTTCACTCTTGATTTTTGGTGTTTGAATATAATTTTCTATTTGTGAGCTCTTTCCTTAACAATGTTCCATATAGAATGATTGACAACACTTGATTATCTATGTAGTTTGTTTTATTGGTCTAATTACTTGGGACAGGTGAGTCCTTGACAATATAATAGATGATAAAGAATTATGAGGATGCTGTAGTGATGTTACATTACCTGTTGATATTCAATACTCGGAAGAACTTAAATTATATTACTTTTTATTAATAAAACCTAATTATTACTTTCAATATAACTTCTCCATGTTACCACTGAAAATGAAGTTAGGATCATACTTGGACCAGGGAGGATGGTGAAGGGGGCAGTTATACATGTGAATAGAAGTGAGTTACTGCTTGTTTCTCTTAATGAGTTTGATAAAGGGTTCTGGATTTGAAGTAACTCCCTGAAGTAGTTTTCTCTACCTGTCCCATTTCCCACAGTTCCATGAAAATTTTCTTGACAGTTTGACCAAGAAAGGAGACTTTCAGAGAGACTGTAAGATGATCACAGAAGAGTTCCCCACTACCCTGTCACAAACCAGAGCACTTTCCTGGCTAACACACTGCTAAATCCATTTCATTCTCCCATGCTCCAGTGTTGCCATCTTTTCAGAGTCAGAGATGTGCTCTATTGTTCTCTGGCCCTCTGAATATGTTTTGCAGTGCTGGTAAGTGCAGAGACATTCCACTATCCTGGTTTGAAGGTTTACAGCCATATAAAAATATAACCTTGATGCATATCATTAGCTCTCTTAAAAGCACCTCAAGCAAATTCAGCCTAAGCAAATGGGAGTATTTATTTACAGAAGCCAAAATACACAACTCCATTAGAAAGGTGACAGAAAAGAGAGCACATTTACTGTAGTTATCGCATGCTGAAATCCACAAGGCCTCTTTACCTTTCCCAGTACCCAGCTAATGGACAGGACCTATTATCTTCAGCTCTACAGTCAAGGACTGGGTTCTAGTGCTTGCTTTTTCATGCTTTTGTTTCCTTTTCCTTCTCTGGATACACTGATGTCCCTTCAGCAGGCCAAAAGCAATCATCTTTTTACTTAACTGAACTATTCACAAACTTGCTTCATTAAGGAATATAAAGTTTTTCCATCTTCCTCAGGTATTGTTCAGACCTCTTCACCAAGCCTTTCCCTAAACTCAGTCTTGAGTTTCATATGAACATATACCTTGACAACCATATTTTACGTAAATGTATGCATAGGGAGTGATGCTGTGCTATTGTGCTGTCTCACTATGTGCTATTGTCTCACTAACAGTAATATTTTACTGAATATGGTGTATTAGCATGATGTAGCAGGCAAAGAAATGTGTATAAACTGAACTCAGTCGTAAAGCACTGCATGGTCAAAGATAGCAAAATCTGAACTGGGACAATGAGGGGGATATCTCCTTGCTTATATTTTCTGCCATAGTTTCAATGAAAGTGCCTTGCTTTTTACTAGGTAAAGAAATTAATACAGAGAATAGGCAGGCCTAAGGTTGAAAAAAATACAGACAGAAAATATGGAAACATGGAGAAGGATAATTACTGGAAGTAAAAAAGTGGGTGTAAGTCAGTCTCCATAAAGCTAAGCAAGGTTGTTCAGCTGGTAAGAGCTGTGAAGAGTTCTAACTTACACATGGAGACAGAATTCCTGTGCTACTGCCTGCCCTCTTAAAATACATAACACAACTCCCAGATGTGTGATTTTCTAAATTGTCCAGTATGTCTTTTTAATTCTGTCTGACAACCTGCTTCTCCACAATTTTTTAATCCTGGCAATAATCCTGGCAGCGTCTACATTTGCTCATCTCCAAGACAGTCATGCAAGTTCAATGACCAGGTGACCCACTTATAGGATGAGGGAAACGCTGTAGATGTTGTCTACCTACACTTTAGTAAAGACTTTGACACCATTTCCTACAGCATTCTCACAGCTTGAATGGGTGTAGTCTTCACTTGATGGACAGGCCCAGAGAGTGGTGGTGAATGGAGTTAACTCCAGTTGGCAGCCAGTCATGGGTGGTGTCCCCCAGGGCTCGGTTTTGGGGCCACTCCTGTTTAACATCTTTATTGATGGTCTAGATGAGGGAATCGAGTGCACCCTCAGTCAGTTTGCAGATGACTCCAAGTTGGGTGGGAGTGTTGATCTGCTCGAGGGTAGGGAGGCTCTGCAGAGAGACCTGGACAGGCTGGATTGATAGGCCAAGGCCAACTGTATGAGATTCAACAATGCTGAGTGCTGGGTTGTGCACTTGGCACATAACAACTCCATGCAGTGCTACAGGCTTGGGAAAGAGTGGCTGGAGTGGCTGAAAAGCTGCCCAGCAGAAAAGGATCTGAGGGTGTTGGTCGACAGCCGGCTGAACATGAGCCAGCAGTATGCCCAGGTGGCCAATAAGGGCAATAGCATCCTGGCTTGTATCCAAAATAGTGTGGCCAGCAGGGACAGCTGAGTGATTGTCTTGGCACTGGTGAGGCTGCACCTTGAATAATGTGTTCACTTTTGGGCCTCTCACCACAAGAAAGGCATTGGGGTGCCGGAGTGTGTCTAAAAGAAGGGCAGTGATGCTGGTAAAGGGTCTAGAGAGCAAGTCTCATCAGAAGCAACTGAGGGAACTGGGGTTGTCTAGCCTGGAGAAAAGGAGGCTCCAGAGAGACCTTATAGCTCTCTACAAATACCTGAAGGGAGGTTGTAGCAAGGTGGGTGTCGCTCTCTTTTCCCAAGTAATAAGCAATAAGATAAGAGGAAATGGCCTCAAATTGCGCCAGGGCATGTTTAGATTGGGTATTAGGAAAAAATTCTTCACTGAAAGGGTTATTAAACATTGAAACAGGCCGCCCAGGGATGTGGTTGAGTCACTGTGGTGGTTTAGGCCCTGCTGGGATCTGAGACCACATTGCCATTGTACCTCCCCCACCCTTGGACCGGTTGGGGCAGGGAGTGAGATACAAACCCTGGGGTTGAGATGAGGAAAAATTTAATACAACAGTGTAACAAATAATAAACAGAACAACAACAGCAACAATAAACAGTAATAACAGTAAACAGGACAAAAGATATACAGAGAAATACCGCAAGAGACACAGCAGCACCTTCGCGCGTGCTTCCCCGGGACAAAACCAACGCAGGAAGCTGTTCCCACACTTGGCGCATGGACCTGATGTCAGCATGGTATGAATAATATGGTGAAGATAACCTGTCATGCATGTTTTCTGTGACTTAGTTGACACTGATTTTGTTTTCTATTCATTAGATTTTGACAGTTCTATACTTGAGAAAGCATCTACCCTAAAGGCAGAAGAGTGGGACTGTAGATGACATGCATTCTTGGATGAAGTGCTGCAGAATGTTTCAGGCAGCAAGGATTAGTGTAGCTAATAATGCTTTTATTGCAGAATTGTATGAATTCTGAGAAAAAAAGCTAGTCCAAAGCTATGCTCTCTGCCATCAATCAGTCTTAAAGTTCTTTTAAAGTCCACTTCAGCTAATTCTTTTATTATTCTTGCTCACCCAAACTCTTGGTACTGACATGCGGGTTCTTTTTACCCAAACTTCTGATTTTTACTTTAACTGTATGTTAAATATGGATTCTCAAAAGCATTCATTGTAAATGGTATTGTGAATTTATCTGGGACCTGACTGTAACAGTCATCATAATTAGTTGTGTTACAGGCTGCAGTTCCAGTCAGCATCACAGCCTTCTTGTACTGGGTGCTGCACATATAAATAGCAAGAGACTGTCTTTGTGCTTTACCTAGTGTCAAGTGACAATTCTTGTTTCTGCCTGGTTTCTTTAGGCCATTGCTACATATGAGTCACAGCTTAACCCCACAAATGAGCTGTCAGTAATCCCTGTAGAGATCAGTGTTGAGGACTCTGTGTTAAGCTGAATGCCACATCTAAGGGCATTATGGTATTTCTAAGTACATGTCATAACTCAGTCTATATTGAACAGTGATGACCTACTACTACATATATATGAGTCTCTCAATCCAACTAGCTGATAATGATCAGTTTTGTCATAGACTGTAGAATGGTTTGGGTTGGAAGGGACCTTAAAGATCATCTAGTTCCAACACCCTGCCATGGGCAGGGACACCTTCCACTAGACCAGGTTGCTCAAAGCCCCATCCTACTTGGCCTTGAACACTGCTAGGGAGGGGGCAACCTGTTCCAGTGTCTCACCGCCCTCACAGTAAAGAATTTCTTTTTTTGTATCTAATCTAAATCTACCCTGATTCAGTTTAAAACCATTACCCTTCATCTTACCCCTACACTCCCTGATGAAAAGTCCCTCCCCACCTTTCCCCACCTTGATTTGTATAAGTTTTTGGTTATTTACCTCCAGAGTAATCTCTCCATTGTTAAAGGTAATAGTTGCTCCTAATTGTTCTAGTAAATCCCTCCCCAGGAGTGCTTTTGTGGAGTAAAGCATATACAGAAATTTGTGTATGCCTAACTGCTTTCCCAGTTTATATTTCAAAGATTTGTAAAAAGAGTAGCTAGTAGCTCCCTTATAATCCTTTCCAGGGCAAGCACTAAAGGATCTTATGGTGGAACTAGTGCACAGTCCCTCTGCCACCCCGGGTGGTTTCGGAGGGTAAAGAACATGTCTGCGTAAGACACCTCATCCTACTTCCCTTCCCTCTGTAAAAATAATAATAATTGCAAAAGCATGTTAGTCTAAGGTCCCATTTAGTGGCCATTTAGCTGCTGCTTCTAGTTTGTAAAGTGGCCACCACTGGTTACAATATTTAATCAGGATTTTCTTGCTTTCCGTACTTCCCCTCCCGACTATATCTTTCTAGTGCGTGAGTATGCAATCCAATGGGCTTTTCTTTTACAATTTTTCCCTGCTTATTTCCCATTAT